GAGGGGATAACTGGGGTGGTGGTGGGATAATGGGGGCAATGAGGGGATAACTGGGGTGATGGGGGATGCCGAGAGGGCAATGAGGGTGATGGGGGGATAATAGGGGGATAATGGGGGTGAAGGGGAGATGCTGAAGGGGTGATGGGGGTGATGCTTGGGATGCTGGAGGGTGATGGGGAGATGCTGAGGGGGATGCAATGATGGGGGTGACGGGGGTGATACCGGGATGGAGGACGGGGACATGACTGGGGTGATGGGGTGACACTGGGAGAGATGAGGTGACACTGGAGGGGTGACAGGGTGACACTGGGCCCACCTGGCAGGACAGCCCGTGGTAGCCGGGGGGGCAGCGACACTCCTCCACCTCGGGGGCGGGGGGCAGGCCGGGCTGGGGGGGCACGGCCGTGTCCATGGCCACGCCGGCGATGCCGGCCGAGGCCGTGCTCGTGGAGTAGGTGGCCCGGATCAGGATCTCGTCCAGGTCCGCCAGGGCCATCAGCAGGTGCTCCCGCGTCGCCGGCTGCCCGTCTGGCCGCTGCCAGTATTGCTGAGGGGACAGGGGGGTCACGGGGGGGACACGCCCCGGGAAACGGGGACACTGGGGACAGAAGCCACCCAGCCCCTCCTACCTCCCGGAAAATGATCTCAAAGGCCTGGGGGGTCCGCGGGGGCAGCTCGGGCTGATGGGCCACCAGCGTGATGTCGTTGCCCTGTGGATGGGGGGGGTCAGGGGGGTCCTGGTGCCACCCTGTGTCCCTGTGCCAGCCCCTGCCCCTGTGCCAGCCCATACCGTGATCTGGATGTCGGCGTCAGGCTGGGGGGCTCCCGGGCCCCCCGGGGTGTAGGTCAGGGTGTAGCGCAGGCGCCCACCGTAGGAGCCCACCTGGACAGGGACACGGGATCGGGATGGGATCGGAATGGGAGGGGTGGGAGAAATATGGGGAAGGGGAAAGGAGTGGAAAGGGGAAGGGGAAGGGGAGATAAATATGGGGAAGGGGAAAGGAAGGGGAAGGGGAAGGGGAAAGGGATGGGATAGAAAGGCAAGGGGAAAGGGAAGGGGAAGGGGAAGGGGAAGGGAAAGGGGAAGAGGAAGGGGAAGAGGAAGGGGAAGGGAAAGGGATGGGATAGAAAGGGAAGGGGAAGGGAAAGGGGAAGAGGAAGGGGAAGAGGAAGGGGAAGGGAAAGGGATGGGATAGAAAGGGAAGGGGAAGGGAAAGGGAAAGAGGAAGGGGAAGAGGAAGGGGAAGAGGAAGGGGAGGGAAGGTTTGGGAAGGGAAGAGAAGGTTTGGGAAGGTTTGGGAAGGGATGGGAAGGTTCGGGAAGGGAAGGTTTGGGAAGGGAAGGGATGGGATGGGATGGGATGGGAAGCGATGGAGAAGGGATGGGATGGGCAAAGGGAAGAGGAAGAGGATGGGGATGATGGGGACAGGGGTGGGGATGGCAAAGGTGATGAGATGAAATAAGGATGAGGAAGAGGAAAGGGATGGGAGAAGGGGAAGAAGAAAAGAGGAAAAGAAAAGGATAGGGATGGGAAGACAAAGGGGAGGGGAGGACAGGGGACGGGAGAGGAGGGGAGGGAAAGGGAGGAGGAAAGGGAAGAGGAGAAGAATGGGAATGATGATGGGGATGGGGTGGGACAAGACAGATGAGAAAGGGGAAAGGGGAAAGGAGAAAGGGCAAAGGAGAAAAAGACAAGGTGGAAGAGGAGAGGGGAAAAGAGGAAACAGAGAAGGGCAAGGGGAGAAGGGGAAAGGAAGAAGGAGAAGGAATAAAGAAGAAGCAGAAAGAAAGAAGAAATGGGAAAAGGGAGAAGGAAAAGGGAAGAAGAAAAGAGCAGAGACGAGGAGGCCATGCCCACCTCCTCTCTGACAGCACCAGGGGTGTCCACAGGGAGGGGGTCACCCCTTACCTTGTCCCCCTGGTAGGGGGGTGGCAGCTGTGCCCACCTCCCCTCCGGCAGCCCCAGGGGTGCCCGTGGGGAAGGGGAGCAGCCCCTGGCTGGCTGGATGCTCCTGTGGGCACCTCTGTCCCCCAGGGGGGTCACCCCCTTACCTTGTCCCCCTGGTAGGGGGGTGGCAGCTGCCAGTAGTAGGAGTCGGGGGGCAGCTCCCCGAAGCGCTCGTAGGTCAGGACGGGGTGGGGGGTGCCCGGCTGGACCCCGAAGCCGCTGCCCACGCGGGTGCTGCGCTGCCTGTTCACCAGGGCGAACCCCTGGGCATCCCCCGGGGCGAAGGGCGTCCGGACCTGCGGGACTGGGGGGTCAGTGGGGTCCAGGACACCCGGGGGGCACCCAGGGGGCACCCTGTGGGTGCGGGGGACACTCACGGTGCCGCGGGCGAGGGCGGTGCTGGCGCAGTGCTGCACGATGCCCATGCAGAAGCAGGGCAGGCACCCGGCCGGCTCGGCCCCGCTCAGGTGGAAGTGATGGGCACGGCAGGTGGCACAGTGGGGACCCTCCACATTGGCCTGGGGGGGGACACGGGGTGGTGACGTGGCCCTGTTGCCCCTCCTCGGGGTGGGGGGGGCACACGGGGCTCACCTTGCAGCGGCACTGCCCGTCGGCGTCGCAGCCCTCGCCGGTGCTGCCGCGCGGGTCACACTGGCACTGCCCCCCAGGGACGCCGGGCACTGGAGGGGGGGACACACACACAGTCAGACACAACCCCCCTCAGTGCCACCACGGGGACACCGCTTCGCCCCCTCCCTGTGACACTCACCTTGGCACGGCTGTCCCCGCGGAGGGTCCCCCACGTACCCGGGCAAGCACCTATGGGGGGACACCCCAAAAAAAGGCAGTGAGGGGGGGTCCACCCCAAAACAACCCCGCAGCCCGCCCTGGTGCCCCCTGTCACCTCTCACAGAGGCGCCCGCCGTGCCCCGGGGCGCAGGCGCTGCAGGTGGGCTGCCCGTCCGTGTCCTCGAAGCAGATCTTGGTCACCCTGGAGAGGGGACAAAGTAACGGGTGACACCCTGCCGGTGTCCCCAGGGATGTGGGGGAGCAGGGGTGGCACCTACTGGCTGTCCCCATGGGGCCCGTGGCAGGGACAGGGCCGGCAGTCGCCCGCGGTGCCCCGGGTGGCATCGCCGTAGTAGCCGGGCTGGCACTTGTCACACTGGGGTCCCTCCGTGTGATCCCGGCAGCCCTGGGAAGCAAAGGGGTGATGGCACCGGTGTCCCCGCCATGGCGGTGCCCGGGGTGTGCCCTGGCTGTCCCCAGCTCACCTGGCAGACGCCGGTGTCGGGGTGGCACTCGCCGGCGTGGCCGTGGCACTGGCACGGCTCACACGTGCCCAGGTAGAGCCCGGCGCTGCTGCGGGTGTAGCCGGTGTCACAGTCCTAGAGGGGACACGGTGCCAGCGGGGTGGGACACGGCTCGGGGCAGTGAGGGGACCCTGAGGGTGCTGAGGGGACCCCGAGGGTGCTGAGGGACCCCGGGGCGTCTCACCTGGCAGGAGGCCCCGCGGTACCCGGGCGGGCAGGCGCAGTCCTCCACCTCCAGCGCGGGCGGGCGGCCGGTGACGTGTGGCACTGCCACGTCCAGGCTGACATCGGCCAGGCTGCGGGGACAGATGACACATCACCACGGCCCTGCCACCCTCCACGCCCCCTCCCGTGCCCCCCACCCCGAGTACCCACCTGCTCTCCTCTGGCTGCTCTGAGTAGGACGCCCGGATCATGAACAGGTCCACGTCGGCCAGGGCCATCAGCAGGTGCTCGCGGGTGGCATCGTGCCCGTCCGCGCGGCGCCAGGCGCCCTGTGGCACACCAGGGTGACAGAGGTGCTGTCATCCCCCACTGCACACAGCCCCAGCCCCCAGGCACCCGGGGTGACCCCTCCATGGCACCCAGACTGATCCTGGGGGCACCCAGTCCCACCCCCTGTGTCCCCAGTCTGATCCCAGGGGTTCCCCGTCTGGTCTCCCAGCACCCAGCCCACCCCTGCCCCATGGCACCCAGTACAGCCCCCATGGGACCCACTCCAATCCCCTGGGGTGCTCAGTCACCCCCCAAAGCACCCAATCTGATGCCCACCATGACACCCAGTCCAATCCATGGGGCACCCAATCCCAGCATTCCATAGCACTCTGTCCAATCCTGCAGCCCAACCCCCCAATGGCACCCAGCCTGACCCCTGGGGCATCCAGTCCCTCTCCTCCCACATCCTGCCCCTTAGCACTGACTCCAGGTCCCCAGAAGACCCAATCCAATTCCCTGGAGCACCCAGTCTGACCTCCCTTAGCACCCAGTCCAACCCACCCCCTGCACCCAGTCTGACCCCCACCACGACACCCAGTCCAATCCATGGGGCACCCAATTCCACCCTTCCATGGTGCCTGGTCCAATCCCCCAGTCCAACCCCCCATGGCACCCAGCCTGACCCCTGGGGCACCCAGTCCCTCCCTATGCACTCAGCCCACCCCATTCCCCATGGCACCCAGTCTGACCCCCATGGGACCCCTCCCAGTCCCCTGTGACATCCAGTCCAACCCCCCATGACATCCAGTCCAATGCCTGGGGCACCCAAACCCACCTCTCCATGGCATCCATTTCACCCCTGCCCCCTAGCACCCAGTCTGACCCCCCACAGCACCCAGTCTGACCCCCCA